TTTTTTTTTGTGCGATGTATGCACGTTGAAGTAACAAAAGTAATATTTTCATCCTTGTGTGCTAATCACAATATGATAACAGAGAGAGAAGTCCTTGAAAGAGTCGAGGAAGGAAAAGAACATCAAATGTATGATGGATGTTTTTTTTTCTTGACAATGATAATAACCATAACCCTTTGATATTTGCTTTGGAATTGGCAGAACTTTTTCTTTTAAACCGGACTGGATCAGCTGATTGAAACTCTTGATTTAACCTAATAATATTATTGTAAAGACAAAATTCGATTTTTATACCAGAAGTTCTTATTTTTAGGTTTCTTTATACCTATTGATATGTTCTCTGCTGCATAAGGCTAACGATTGGCATAAATTTCACAGCAGAACAGAATCTTTTCTGGCACTTTTGTAATGAAAGTATGAACAGCAAACCTATCAATCATTGAGATTTTCTCACAGTTGATTAAAATTAGTTCAGAAAAGTGAGTTCGAGATTGAAAATCTGTATTTAAGATACAATTTAACTTCTAATGACTCATTAGCTTTCTATGATTATAATCAATTCATTCAGCATGATCTGAGGCTCTCATTGTGCGATGAGAAAGTGTGAATTCAAAATTCAGGGCTGAGGTTTTAATCAAAAGAAGAAATTTGTTCATTGGAAACTTTCAGACTCATATTTCTAGATCGTTGATACAGCCAAAACAGACTAGCTTCAGTGCCTGAAAACTTGAAAAATATTCGGTGTGCTTGAAAAAGGAGTTCACGAAAAACTAAATTTATCTCGTTTTACTGTTATACTTTTCAAGCTACTATGACTTTTATATTTTTCACCCTTTAGTTATTTTAGGTGTGGGTTGGGCATGCGTGTATAGACGTGTTTCCTTCACTCACATATCACATCCAAATGGACTAAAACGACCAAAATATACTTACAGCTTGAAAAGATGTGTAAGCATACAAGTAAAATGGAATATCTAATAGAATTTTTCAATCTATTGAAGTTTAAAAACTTGATTTGTAATTATTAATCATTCTGTGCATATCAACGCCCTCTTTATCATTGCGTATAAAAGCGACCTCTGTATTGCAAGAAACATGTTATAAATACACTTGAGGTTTTGATAGAGTTGCAATGGTAGTTGTTGCTTTACAAGAAAATAAACTACGATCAGTTGTTGCTTTTTTGATATTTTTATTTTCTTTTGTGATTATTGAATTTTATTTTATTTTTTCTTAAATTTAAATTAGATATTCAGTCTATTTTATTATGAGTTCGGCATCAGCCATACTCACATCATTATCGGATTTAACCAATAATCCAAAATTGGAACATTATGATCCTCATCTTTGTAAAGATATTCATATTAAACTTGATAAAGAAGCACGCGATCAAGGTTTAAGTTATCAAGAACGTTTTGACATGGTCATACGAAATATTTTTATTTTATTCATCAAAAGAAAATAAATTTTTTTCCTGATTTTAGGCACGAAAAAATATGTCTGTTTATAATAAATGGCAATCAATATTTCCTAGTGGTATATCTCAATGTCTTAAAGAATATTGGAAAGAACGTATGAGTGCAGCACCACTCGATCCACGTTTTCCGAATGTAAATCAATCAAAGTAAATTAAAATCAAAACAAAAAAAAAACTTTTTTTTATTTATTCAATTTTTCTTTTAGACGATGTTGGGTTAATTATGTTGATTATCATCGTTGTATGGAAATGAAAAATGATGAAAAAGTTTGCGACTATTTCAAATTTCATTATATAGATCTATGTCCAAAAGAATGGGTTGAAAAATGGGATGATCAAATGGAGCGTGAAGTTTTTCCTGGTATACACGATTAGAAAGACAATATTAAAAATCTCTTTCCTTTCCTATCCATTCTTTTTTTACGATCGCCCTATCATCCTTTATAAACATATTGTTTAGAGTATCCTAAAACTTATGATTAAAAATAGTTTTCTTTTCTTTTCTTTTTTTTTTTGATTTCAAACTCCAGTTTTTTCAGATTAATACGAAAAAACAAAAATGAGCAGTAAGAAACTTATACCAGCTATTCAAACTATGAAAATCATCTATGGATCACATGGACGACAAAATATTCTACCTTATCATTATTTAGGGTAAATGAAAATTGGTTTTGTTTTTAAATAAAAATCTGAGTTTTGCTTTTTTTTTTAAAAGTATGATTTATCGTACACCATGGCGATTTTGGTATTCAAATTCTCAAGTATTTCGATGGTTTTCACGTCTTATGCTTGTAGCTGTTGCTGCATCGGTTTATTTACCATTACGAGGTGTTGATTTAACTTATACACCATACAATATTGTTCATCATCAACTTGATCATAAATTTGGTCATTGGATTGAAGAAATGCGTTATCCAGTCGATCAAAAACGTGTAGAAGAATATAAAAAACAACATGGACTTGAATAGATTTAGATTTTTAAATGTTATCTCCTTAACAAAGAAAAAAAAAGATCATTCAGTGAATTCCTAAGCGAACATTTTTTTCTCCTTCCTTTTTCTCTTTCTCTCTCTCTCTCTCTCTCTCTCCATGTGATGTTATACCCGTCATTTTCAACTAGATTTTGCTATGTAATAAAGAAGAGAAAAAAAATATTAGTAGATTCAATTCGAGAATAAAGATTAATTAGAATGCGTTTTTTTTCGAGAAATCCGAATAATGAATATGTTTATTATCATGTCAAAATTTGTTTACAAACTATGATGAAAACAAGAATAATCTTGATTAGAAGAATATAAAAGTGTTTGTGAAGAAACTTGTTCAATTCACAAACGGTTTTAGTTTTCTAAATCGTTGTATTTTTGGAAATGATAAATATTACTATCGAAACGGTTTGTATAAAAAAAAAGAGACTCAAAGAGAATACACCGAAAAAGGTTTTTGGTCTCAGTCAAAAAAAGTTTCAGTCCAGGTTTCGGGCTTAGTAATATACATACTAGCAGAAAATGCGATATCATTTTCTAGCAACGGCAATGAGCTCGAGACACTTTGTATGACCTCTAATATCCTTTCTCTTGGAGATTCATTACTTTTTTTAATTCACTAATATTTCGTCTATTCTGCACATTTAAGGTATTCGACAACTCTGTTATTTACGAAAAAAAGAATTCATTTTACTATCAAAATTGTAATCACAAATATTAGAGTAATCGTTACTAAATAATTTTCGCATAAACTTTTAGAACACATGAGTCGTCAGAGAGTAACATTTGATGCAAGTTTTACAAAACCATAAAAGAATATCACTCCCAATGAAAAAATGTCAGTCCTGCTCCCGGTTGCGGAACCATCTTGCTTATATTCACCCACACTCTAATCGAGCTACCTACATTAATCCTCTTACTATATCTTTTTTCGCATGTTTCCATAATGCAGCTATTTTTTTTTTCTCCAAATAAGAGGCCAACCTCAGAATTGATTCCCCTCCCGTTTAGAACGGACCGTTTGGGCTGAAATTTTCAGGAACTATTGGTCCCAGTGAGAAACGCCTGTGGTAAAAATTTCAGCCTGATTATGCATGACTAGATCGAACTTCCAGCTTGTTTTCCCACCTTTCAGGAGAATCGAGATAACTCCGTCATTACAAGGGGTACAGAATTCGGGCTGGTTGCAAATTAAAGCTAGCTTCTGTGCACAACTTTTCATTAGATGGAATTTTGAAATTCTCTCCCACTTATTTTTTATGAACATTTTAATGGGCATGGTGTTCAAAATAACCATAAAAAAAGGTGACTCGATCGACAATAAATCCCAGTTTTCTCAGTCTAGAAATCAAGCATCAATAATCCGTCCGATGAAAAGTTAGCTCTGATTAAGACCTTTAAAACAAAAAAAAACATCGATTATACCCAGAGTCGAGTAGGAGTTATTTCAATTTTCTTGCTTGGAAACTATATTTTTAGAAAAACGCTAAAGTAGTTTTAGAAATGGATTTTTCGTTCAAATCTAGAATAAATCATATTACAATGGTATATTTTTAATATATATCAGTAGACCATTTTAAAGTACGTAATAGATGAAGGTAGCTAACGCCATCTGACATACTGGGTAATATAAAAATGTTCTATTCAATGATAATGCAAGTGGAAACGTAGTTTTTCCAAAACCAAAAAAATTTAAAAACTACGAAAATATTTTCGAAAATATGGAGTAGAGTCAAAGTTTCATGTGATAAGTCTTTGAAAATTTGGTCATTTTCCAAAAAAGCCATAGATATTCTGAAAGAGGAAGCTTCATTGCATCGACCTATGATAAAAACTGAACTTCGAGATTTTTTTCGAAAAATTCGATTTTCTAAGGGAGAGCCTCTTAAGGAAAAATGTCTGCAATCAAGAAGACACGGTAGAATAGAATAATAAAAATATCGAAAGAAAAAAATGTCAGTATACAAGTTTTAAATTATTCTGATGTAAATAATTTTATTAATATATGCAAGATAGAATGAAATGTGTTAATAAATCACACGCAAATAATATTATAGACAACAGAAGAAAAAGAAAAGTGCGATAACAGACACAACACATGTTTACTATTTTGCTTCAACTAATGAAGTCGTCTAATAGTACCGTAAGATCAATTTCATTACTTTTTTATAGTGTTTATTTAATGTATCAATATGTTGTTGTATTTCATTGATTATTTTCGTTTTTTTTTTGGTCGACCTTGAGTCGTAGAATTCATTCGTATCACTATGTGTTGAAATCAAGGCTCTTTCCCATAGGAAACATTTGATAAATTATTAAACATTTAGATGAGAACTTTGAATACGTTAATTTAAGCGATTATGAACACTTATTAAGGACCCTCTCAGAAAAATGAATTTGGATCAAATTTACTAGTTTTATAATTTATAGCTCGTTAGATATGAGCAAAGTATGTACTTTCGAATGCATTATAGTGTATTGGTTTTATGATGAGATTTAAGGATACTATAAAGGTTTTTCTGAACATTCACACAGAAGAATATAACATTTTTTACTAAAAATTTTGAGTTTTAAAGTATTTCAAGTTTCTCTGTTGATTTTGGTACTGATGAACACGGTTGTCATACATCACTAAGTATGACAAATAGATACAACATTCGAACATAAAAACCACAGAAATGGAAGGAAACTAC